GGGGGCGTGGAGGTGGCCAAAATTTATTGTTCCGGAAAAAAATTATAAATATTGTAACTGAGGGTGGGCCATGCCATTTCATGTGCACTCCCTTGGGGGCCACATTATTTTATGCAGTGACAGGAGCAGGGCCATATGAAATTATGTTGAGGAAAATGAAAATCCACCAGCCCCCCCCCCTCTAATAAATGACCGGTCCCTTATGAATATGAAACTGTCAATCGAACATGTGCACTTCCGGTGCAGACATGTAAACACGATGTTATAAAATATATAAATATCAACTGTTTCTCGCACACCCAAACGCTTTAAACCTCCAAAACCATACGCGGTTTGAAGAGTATCGTTAAGTTGAAGTTCTGAGAATTTCACAACTCTTTCGCCTCCAAGTCCAAGAGATAACATATTATCTATAGGCTATAGTCAGTTTCTCATGAGAGTGAAACGCCATTTTTGTATAATCGTCCGTGTTTGTATATATTTTTGTCCAATGTAAAACAGGGGCGGACTGGCCTATACGTAATTCACCGGGAAAACTCAGAAAGGGGGCGCCGCTTGTAGCCATAACGTGAGCAACAGCTACATAGAAATTGTGTGCAAACTGTGTATTATTTCGGATCCGTATTTCGGAGTGAAACATATGCACAAAAATAACATTTGGCATTTCGCCTATTGTCAAAACCGCTGCTTTACAAATAAATACGAATGGTTAACGAGCAGTAAAACAACTTTATTTTATTTCATCAGACATAACAAGCATTTGACGTAACACTGAAGACGCTGTAGCTAAAATAGCAATTATGTCATGTACAGTAATGTTATCAAGCAAGTCTTTCTCGCTTGTCATTAGCATTACAGCTTCCAACTTATCATTCGCTAACTTGATTTTAATCTAGTTTTTATTTGTTTCAACCTGCTAAATGCCCTTTCACAGTTAACTTGCGTAAATGACAATGTCAACAAATGTTCGTACACAACAAACAAATTTGTTAGAGCTAAAGTGATGAGTGAGTACTTGAACAGGATTTTGTGACAGCAAGCAAGACACTTTTTACAGTTTCCTTTGCGAGCAGCGTTTCGATTTCTTAGTATTGGATTGCTGACACCACCGTCTTCATTATCACTGCTCTCCTCTTCACTGCTCTCCTCCTCATTGGTACTGGTCATGGTGGCAACGTCATCAGAAGCACCTTCAGACTCATCAGGAAGTGATCGTGATAACACCGTGAAATTTTTCGCTAAACAGCATAATTCTTCTTTCAGTGACAAAGGGTCAACGCCAGTTATCTTAGCAACTTTAGTAAGGCTGTTTTCAGAAACCCCAGACAAGACTATTTCATCAAATCGTCGTGGATCAAGATATGCTGTATGCCTGTATCTTTAATCAGTTGACCGTTTTGACTAAAGCATTGGTCAATACTAGTCGTAATCTGGTCAACTACTCGTCTGAAAATGTTTACACGAAACCGCATAATTGGATCCTCGGCTAGCATATCCGATGCTTGCTCTCCATTACTCTTGAATCTTCTAGTTTCGATTCAACTTTAATGTTGTCAAGATCGTCTTCAGCCAGTTTGGCATTCATTGACTGGATAAAATTAATTGATGCTTCATACAGTGGTGTCATATGAGATTCTGTGTATCTCGTCTTTTGATGACTGCACCATGTTCCAAGCACTAAGGTAATCCAAACCACTTGCTTGCAAGTAATCGGATGCTTGACGTAAAATACTACGCACAAGAAGTAGAAAATACGCAGTTAAAATGTTACTGAATTGTAACCATTTTTCAAGCAGCGTCGAGGCCTCAATAGATGCCTTTGCATTGAATTTGGGCAGATTCACAATATCATTCAGAACCTTTAGCATGACAAAATATGTTCCGCTTTTTTATTGTTAACGGACCAAAAATTGTTTCTAATGCTGCCTGCTTAGGCCACCATATAGTGTCACCAATCTTCTGCAATTTCCTTAGCTTTGCTGAACCAACTGCTTCGTCAATCTTTATCCTGCTCGAAACATCCATTCGTTTGCACGAATCTGAAAAAAACGTTACGGTGCTTTGAAGCAAGCTGATCAAATTTTCACTTCGGTTATGTTTTCTACCATATCTGGAGCAGCAAGGTTTAGCACATGAGCGTAGCACCATATGTACAACGAATTTGGCGAAACGTCTCTGATCAGCTTCTGTACACCTCCGAACTCCCTACGCATATTTGATGCTCCATCAAATGATTCACCGATAATATTTTCCATCTTTAGACCTTGTTGCTCAAGATTTGTCTTCAAAAGTTGAAAAATACAGCTGCTGATCCATCATAAACTTTTGATTTATTGACTTCCAGGCCAAGAACATAACGCAAAATTATTGTTTCCGATCCTGTTCCACCGTGGCGGTGTCTTGTGTACCACCCACGAAAACTTCTTTTCTCCAATCTTTTGAATAATTTTTGATTTGATGTTTAAAATTGCTAGCAAAATTTTGTTAACTGGGATTTTGAAAGCATTGCTACTAAATTTCCACGTCGACGACTATTCTGTTTGCCTTTTCGTTTCAAATTTTCTCGTCTTTTCTTACTTTTATGAATTACTTAATTCCTGTACATGACTGTTTAAAGGTACATCAAATTCCGAAATCAAAAGGATTGTTTCTAAAAAATTGCCATGATCAACTGATCTATTATCTAAAGTGTATGAAGACTCGTTTCGGTGTCCTCTGAATGAAAAGGATCGTTTAGCAAGGTATTTGATTAGAGATACTATTCTTTCTAAGACACGAATGTTTTCTTGAACATCGCGCCGTCGAGCATTAACCATTTTCGAATTAGTGAGAGAACTTATGTCTTTGTTATACTTGGCGTGAACAAATACCATTACCAAAATAACATATAAATTATCTACAAAATTCCAAAATAGGGGTGTCAAAGAACATTTTAATCAGGGGCGCACCGGGAAATTTCCCGGTATCCCTGTGGGCCAGTCCGCCCCTGTACAAAGCGTTTGTTTACATTACGGACTTTACATCACCTCCTAATATGGTATTAAATGCTGCACTGTTGTTATTCTAATTTTGTTATTGGCATATCAATATCAGAATAGTGTTTTGATTTCATATGAGAACCTAGGAAAGAGAAATAAACTTTATATTAATTTTAAACGATGTTTGAAATTTGAATCACTAAATACGGCTCACAGACACAGTTTGAATAATAATTAGCACTTGAAAAACAACCAATCAGAGCCCGACTTTCGCTGGTGTTTCCCAGAGCCTCAGCAAGCCTCCTCAGAGGATTGCACAAGCTCTGCATGGTTTCGAGATTGACCTTGACCAGCCTATTTATAAAATATTGTTTATGTGAACTTCAACAACCAACAATCAAAATCTTTCATGATGCTGATCAACCAATCAGATTTCCCGTCCACAAGATGGACGGGAATGTTTATTTCCCAAACCGGTTTGACATATTTTTACAAATGGCCAATCACATGCGAGATTTAAATTCTGAACCTAATCAAGCTCTGCTATTAATCAAGTGAGGCTCTTCTTTCTCGCTTCTCGTTTCTTTCCGCCTCGCAGAGCCTCTGGAACCAGGGTAAGAGTCGCTTTAAAAAGAAACAGCAGCCAGAATATGTGTTACAAAATATTTGTCGTTTTGGCAATAGTGTTGACCTTCTCAACCATGGGTAAGGAAATAATTTATTACAGTCAGAATACAAGAACACTTCCGCTTCTGTAACTTGTTTTGTATTTCTGTAAATTGTTCTATTTTTCTGTAGCGATTTATACCGCTTTATCGGCAAATATGGCGCGGTTGGGTCCTGTAGAATTTTGCTTTCCTTCCTTTATATACGTCAATTTGTAGCAATGGATACACCTTTCGTTAGATTCTTTGCATAAAAGTCGCGAAACTTAGGATCTTATAGCGATATTTGCTGATAAATCGGTTATAAACCGCCGCTCATATACATAGTGTGTTAATCAGTCATACTATACAAATTTAAAATAACCGACTATACAATCATTTGATGTACTAAAATCAAAATCAGTCTATTTCTTTTATGGAAAGAATCTAACGAAAGGTATACAGTATATCCTTTGCTACAAACTGACGTATGTAAAGGAAAGAAAGGGAAATTCTACCGCGATATTTGCCGAAAAGGCGGTAATCGCTACAGAAAAGTAGAACAAATTACAGAAATACAAAACAAGTTACAGAAGTGGGATGGTTCTTGTATTTTGACTGTATTAACCCACGATATGTATAAATAGCATGCCGTATTGTATTTTGAATTCAGCGGCGTAAATTCGTATCTTAATGTACGTTATTTATTTAAAATAACAACAAAATTTGTGGATGTTGCGCCATTCAGTAATTGCATAATAACATATTTATCATCGTAGGGTGTGCCCTGAAATGCTACGCGTGTTTTTACAGTTCGAACCTACCGGTACCGACATCTCTACAATACTGTAACAATGTTACAGTTGATTGTCCAACTAAATACTGTTATTCTGTTGCTTATACCACGAGTAAAGGCATATCTGCTGTTCGACGAGGCTGTGACAACATTCCCAACGAAAAAAATTGTCCAAATAGTGGCGAAGCATGCCAAAGAAACAGACGTCAATTTAATATCACATCATGCTCTGAAACCTGCTGTACCACCGATCTTTGCAACAGTGACACAGTACGTGTCATGGCCGCGAAATTTATTCTCTGTTTGACGATCATTGTGGGATATTTCTTAGCTTAAATTTTTAAGACTATATATAAGTTATTTTTGTATCTGGTAACATTTAGTTTACGCTATACTGCCTATAGTGATTCACAGTGGAGCAGCTTATTTGAATATTGTGATGACAAAGAATGAAAGAATAGCATTTGCCGGGTTTCTCTTGTTACATCATAAGCAATATCATGTAATTTTACATATATTAAATATTATTATCACTATAAGCTTTTAATTTACATATATTAAATATTATTATCACTATAAGCTTTTAAGCTTATATATAGTGATAAATGTTATTATTGGCACAATAATGGAAGTTAACAGAGAATTAAGAGGCGCTAGCTAACGTCACTTGCTAAGGTCATTTGAACATGTAGAGTATATATTCAAGATATGAATATATTAAGTAAAAACAACGTGGTTCTGCATGTGGCTTCATTCGCATAGTAACTCCAAATGGCCATTCCGCCACGGATCACTGATTAAGAATTGGGGAAAAGGAAGGTCCATTGTTTCCAAATGAAACACGGAAATGGATCCGCAGCAGAAAGCCACAAGGATGGGAAACAGAAGGGTGGGAGGGTGGGCGTTTTTACAACACACAAGAGTAAACAACACCCTGACGCAGCCCCCTCCTTCTCGCCCCCCCCCGCCCCCTTTTCCGGTCCTAATTTCTTTATCTTGCACTTTCTCTGTCTTGGCGATCAGCACAGAAAGAGCAGTTACAACCTGTAAACTAGGGTTTTATGCATTGTACATCATTATTTATTCATAAAACAACGTTAATTACTCAAATTCCATTAGTTAATCAGCTTCCGCGGCGTGTTTGGCCAATTTGAATAGTAAAATATCCAAATGGCCATTCCGCCACGGATCACTGATTAAGAATTGGGGAAAAGGAAGGTCCATTGTTTCCAAATGAAGCACGGAAATGAATTCCTCCGCAGTTCAGTTACTACTCGCTCCCAACACTGCATCTCCCCCATATACCCAAACCCCCATTCTCATGTACCCAAACCCCCATTCTCATATACCAAACCCCCATTCTCATATACCCAAACTCCCATTCTCATATACCCAAGCCGCCATTCTCATATACCAAACCCCCCTGCTCAAATACCCTACAACCCCGCCGATTCGCATGTGCCACACACACAAACCAAACTATAATCTATTAAGCAAACAAACCGGCAATGGACAGTATGAAAAAAAATGCAAGTGAAAAACGATAGGTGGACTAGCATGGTCAAGCGACAATGAACGCAGATAATAACCCGGAACTGATGCCACAGGTCTGGTCCCCGGGAGAAACTTCCACCCAATGACTCGCTTCTTAAGACGCTCAGAAGCTGCTAACGGAACAAAGTGTAGCGAGTGGCGAGAAAAAGATGAACAGAGAAGTAAATCCCCAAAGCACCCCCCGGAAGGACCAGAAAAGGGCAACAGTCCCGGCACAACTGCTAGAGTCGAACACAAAGAGCTTTAGATAGCCCTGGGAAAGTTGACCCCCACCAGCCAAGAAAGAAAAAAGAACCCAAGAAATGCAAACGAAAACCAGCGAACGAGCGCAAACACAAGATCTGTAATTTCATACACACTCGAAAAACATATATTGCCCAAGAATTGGGTGATTCGCGTATGGCAAGGAAGGTATACTGTTCTGAATCGTCAAAACATTGGCCCTTGTCTGTCCAATCCAAATGCAGTAAGCGCGTGCGCTCGGTCTTAAGCAATCATGTATTGCGAGATGCACCTCTTGCATGTGCAATGTTCGTGCTCAATCCCAAGCAATCATGGATTGGGTCTATTGGGAGATGCATGTCTCTGCTTGCCCAAACATATGAGCAACTGACCACTAAACAAATTCCGTAACTGCGAGACGCCGCTCCCGCGCATGCACTAAACTCATTGACAAATGATTTCCAAATTCCAATTCAACGGCTGCCATGGTTCGTCCCAAGCAATCATGTATTGTAAAATGCAAGCCTCTCATTCGCGAAACCCTGAACCTGCTTTTTCCAATCCTAAGTCAGTAGCGACTCTTACCCGGTCACAAGCAATCATACAATTGCGAGATGCCCTTCGCCCATACGCCAAACTCATTGGCCACTTTGCCTTAAAGCCAAATTCAGTAGCTACTCGTGCTCAGTAACAAGCAATCATACAATTGCGAGATGCACTTTTCGTATACGCCAAACACATTGTCATTTGCTACATTGCCTTAAATCCAAATGCACTGAGCTAATCATGCTGGGTTTGAAGCACACCTGCATGGGAAGATGTACATTGCTGATACGCCAAACACATTGGTTACGGTACCTTAAAACCAAATTCAGTAACGAATCGTGCTCGGTCGCAAGTAATCATGCATTGCGAAATGCACCTCTCTCATACGCCAAACACATCGGAAACTTTCTTTTAAAATCCAAATTCAGTAGCTACTCGTGCTCGGTCTCCAGCACTCATGCAATTGCGAGATGCACTGCTCTTACAAACCAAACACATTGACCACTATACCTTAAATCCAAATGCAGTAGCTAATCGTGCTCGGTCACTCAAGCAATCCTGTATTGTTAGATGCAATCATTGCCTACGCGAAACACATGAGCCTTCCTTTGAATCCCAAGTCAATAACTACTCAAGCTCGGTCACAAGCAATCATACAAGTGCGAGATGCACTTCTCTTATACGCCAAACACATTGGCAACTTTGCCTTAAATCCAAATTCATTGAGCTAATCGTGCTCGGTTTGAAGCAAACATGCATTGCAAGATGCACATTGCTCATACGCCAAACACATTGGCCACTGTGCCTTAAATCCAAATGCAGTACCTAATCTTGTTCGGTCGCAAGCAATCATGCATTGCGAAATGCACCTCTCTCATACGTCAAACACATTGGCAAAGTTGTTCTAAAATTCAAATTCAGTAGCTAATCGTGCTCGGTCACCAGCAATGATGTAATTGCGAGATGCACGTCTCTCAGACGCCAAACACAGTGGCAACTTTGTTTAAAATCCAAATTCAATAACTACTTGTGCTCGGTCTCATGCCACCTGGCATTACGAGATGCACATTTCTTATACACCAAACACATTGGCAACTTTGTTTAAAATCCAAATTCAGTAGCTACTCGTGCTCGGTCTCAAGCCATCTGGCATTGCGAGATGCACGTCCCTCATACGCCAAACACATTGGCAACTTTGTTTAAAATCCAAATTCGGTAGCCACTCATGCTCGGTCTCAAGCGATCTGGCATTGCGAGATGCACTTTTCTCATACACCAAACACATTGGCAACTTTGTTTAAAATCCAAATTCAGTAGCTACCCGTGCTCGGTCTCAAGCCATCTGGCATTGCGAGATGCACGTCCCTCATACGCCAAACACATTGGCAACTTTGTTTAAAATCCAAATTCAGTAGCTATACTCGTGCTCGGTCACCAGCAATGATGAAATTGCGAGATGCACGTCTCTCATACGCCAAACACAGTGGCAACTGTGTTTAAAATCCAAATTCAGTAACTACTCGTGCTCGGTCTCAAGCAATCTGGCATTACGAGATGCACTTTTCTCATACACCAAACACATTGGCAACTTTGTTTAAAATCCAAATTCAGTAGCTACTCGTGCTCGGTCTCAAGCCATCTGGCATTGCGAGATGCACGTCCCTCATACGCCAAACACATTGGCAACTTTGTTTAAAATCCAAATTCGGTAGCCACTCATGCTCGGTCTCAAGCGATCTGACATTGCGAGATGCACTTTTCTCATACACCAAACACATTGGCAACTCTGTACAAAATCTAAATTCAGGGGCTACCCGTGCTCGGTCTCAAGCGGCAATCTGGCATTGCGAGATGCACTTCTCTCAGACGCCGAACACTTTGGCAACTTTGTACAAAATCCAAATTCAGGAGCTACCCGTGCTCGGTCTCAAGCGGCAATCTGGCATTGCGAGATGCACTTCTCTCAGACGCCAAACACATTGGCAACTTTGTATAAAATCCAAATTCAGTAGCTACGCGTGCTCGGTCTCAAGCAATCACGCATTGCGAGATGCACTTATCTCAGACACCAAACCCATTGGCAACTTTAGTTAACATCCAAATTCAGTAACTACCCGTGCTCGGTCTCAAACAATCATGCATTGCGAGATGCCCTTCTCTCATACGCCAAACCCATTGGCAACTTTGTTTAAAATCCAAATGCAGTAACTACCTGTGCTCGGTCTCAAGCAATCTAGAATAGCGAGATGCACTTATCTCATACGCCAAACTCATTGGCAACTTTATTTAAAATCCAAATTCAGTAGCTACCCGTGCTCGGTCTCAAGCAATCTAGCATTGCGAGATGCACTTCTCTCATACGCCAAACACATTGGCAACTTTGTTTAAAATCCAAATTCAGTAGCTACCCCTGCTCGGTCTCAAGCAATTAGCATTGCAAGATGCACTTCTCTCATACGCCAAACACATTGGTAACTTTGTTTAAAAACCAAATTCAGTAGCTACTCGTGCTCGGTCTCAAGCAATCTGGCATTGCGAGATGCACTTCTCTCATACGCCAAACACATTGGTAACTTTGTTTAAAAATCCAAATTCAGTAGCTACTCGTGCTCGGTCTCAAGCAATCTAGCATTGCGAGATGCACTTCTCTCATACGCCAAACACATTGGCAACTTTGTTTAAAATCCAAATTCAGTAGCTACCCGTGCTCGGTCTCAAGCAATCTAGCATTGCGAGTTGCACTTCTCTCATACGCCAAACAGATTGGCAACTTTGTTTAAAAAGCCAAATTCAGTAGCTACTCGTGCTCGGTCTCAAGCAATCTGGCATTGCGAGATGCACTTCTCTCTGATACGCCAAACCCATTGGCAACTTTGTTTAAAATCCAAATTCAGTAGCTACCCGTGCTCGGTCTCAAACAATCTAGCATTGCGAGATGCACTTCTCTCATACGCCAAACACATTGGCAACTTTGTTTAAAATCCAAATTCAGTAGCTACCCGTGCTCGGTCTCAAGCAATCTAGCATTGCGAGATGCACGTCTCTCATACGCCAAACCCATTGGCAACTTTGTTTAAAATCCAAATTCAGTAGCTACCCGTGCTCGCGGTCTCATGCAATCTAGCATTGCGAGATGCACGTCTCATACGCCAAACCCATTGGCAACTTGGTTTAAAATCCAAATTCAGTAGCTACCCGTGCTCGGTCTCAAACAATCTAGCATTGCGAGATGCACTTCTCTCATACGCCAAACACATTGGCAACTTTGTTTAAAATCCAAATTCAGTAGCTACTCGTGCTCGGTCTCAAGCAATCTAGCATTGCGAGATGCACGTCTCTCATGCGCCAAACACATTGGCAACTTTGTTTAAAATCCAAATTCAGTAGCTACTCGTGCTCGGTCTCAAACAATCTAGCATTGCGAGATGCACTTCTCTCATGCGCCAAACACATTGGCAACTTTGTTT